GGAGAAAGCGCTGGAAAGCCCATTCAGAAGAGCTCCGATTCATCATCATCTGCTTGTTATTCGACGAGGCGGACCCCGCCGGAATAGTGGCGGAGGATGATGACTCTTCATGCTCCTCCTTCGCCGCGTCTTGCCGAATCGTCGGCGGCGGCTGAGGTGACCAGAATTGATCCGCTAGTTCATCCACTGAAAACACCCCATCCATGTCTAACTCGTACAGAAAGAAAACAGAATTATGTGGATAGTGTTATGGATAAGAATAAAACATACAGAAACTGTACAGTTGGCATCACACGTATGGCTACTTTTTTTTTTGTGTGTGTTTTGTCATTTTCCAATGATAATATGCCAAGTGTCCATTCGTACGAATCTTGTGAAAAAATTTCTGTGCATTGTTCATTGTTGTATGGGATAAAGTAGGGTAAAAAAAAAAACGAGCTTCCAAAATTGGGATGACTAGGATATTGTATTCCCTTTTTGGAGTCATTTATAATGGACTGCTATATGGTCAGGGTCACATGGGCCCCCAGCCGTCAAGGAGCGCAATCAAAATAATCCCATTTATAATAGACAACTATCGCCACCAAAATTGACACTAAGGTGGCATATTGTGAAAATTTGGGCACCATGACTTAGGGATGACAAAAAAATTTGACAAATTCGATACTCGCGGAGCCTCGTCCCAAACGGAGCTAGAAAAACCTGCTTAAACGGGTAACGGGACGACGGGGTCCCTGCCTCACCCCGTTAAAAAAAAAAAAAAAATTTAATTCAATACTTTAAATGAAAATTTTCATTAGTTCTAATAGAAAATAGCAACTAAAATTACTTGTCTAAATCTAATGAATATGGGTAATAAAAATAAATTATCAAAAACAAAAAAAAATTAAACAAGGAATAAATTGGGAAATGATCTACCCCTGTCCCGCCTTAAACGAGTAACGGGACAAGGAGGTCCTCCCGTCCCGTTGCCATCCCTACCATGTGTCATGAGACAGAGAATGTCCTTGGTTTTATATGTTTTGTAAAATTTTTTGTTGTTGTTATGCGTTTATATGTGCATCAGAGATAATAAGATTATCGTCGAGTTCATCAAATGAGATTCAGTTCTTATGAACTTAGTATATATGTTTATATTCTGTGAGAAAATTTTATGCTTGAGATATCAAAATATTCTAAATCATATTTATTTGTGTTTAGGTGTATACCCTGAAGGTAGTGAGACTTTCATTGTGTTCATCGAATGAGATTCAGTTCTTATGAGCTCAATTAGAGAGGATATGTGTGCACATATTTCAGGACTTATTGTAGAAATTTGAAAAGTTCATAATGAAATTGAAATTTCACGTTCTCTAAGGATCAATATTTAAATAATGAAAATATGCATTTAGTCGGGGAAATAAGTGAATAGAGATATTTGTTTGTTAGAAATCAAGGTTTGATACTTTGTGCCCTTTATATGTTATTAAGCCTTTGTTTGTCTCCCATTTTAAGGAATTTTTTTTTTTTTGGAGAAAATGATTTTTTGAATCATAATTTTTTGGAGAACGTGTGGTTAAAAGCCGGAAAAGGTTTTGAATTTACGTGTAAAATATTTTATTTCGTTAATGTGTTATTGAAAATGAATTTGAAAAAAAAAAGTTTTTTAAGAAAAAGAGAGATAAACATGGGCTAATATTGGAAAGATTATGCAGATTAAACAAATCGTAAGACTCCAGACAAGTGTAATGATATGGTTCTATCTTGGATACTCAACGTTATCAATAATATAGCAAGCAATTTTATTTACTACGATACTCCTAGGAGTCTTTAGGAAGAAATTGAAAAGAGCAGTATGCAACTTTTAGCGTTGGCACATTTCAACATTCTAAAATCTTATTAAAACGAGTTATCTACCGATTACTCCATGTATGTATGATATACACAAAGAATTATAGAAGCTACAAGAAGTCAAATAGGTTTTTAATTTTTTATGGGACTCAACGACTCTTGCTCTCATGTTCGAAGTCAAAATTCCAGCCTTGGAACTACTTTCGATGATTAAAAAGGCATACTTGTTTTGCAAGAGTTATGACAATGACTTCTACGAGTTCAACATTAAAGCTCATCATGATCCATTGTTTCTGTAACCAAGAACAAATTTTAACCGAGACGATCAACTCCATAACCAACTTCTGGTGAGAGAAAGATATCGATTTAAATAAATAAAGCAGTGGAATAGTATAATTCTTCTTATTATACAAATCACTATTTACGTAATGATTACTCATGAATTAACTAATGGAATCTCGATCATACTTGTTAATTTAAAGAATAGTAAGTTATTATTACGTCATCTAAATTTCACAAAGATCGGATCATAGAGTGCAAAGATATCGAGCTTTGATCGCAACTGCACAAACTGTCCAATTTGGACGATTTTCCCTTCTACTTTTTAATTTTTCAAATTTTGTGAATTCACGTACATACATATAATTTTAAGGCTGGAATTTTGTTTTTCACGCGCACATATGGCTGATACAATAGTTGCCTCTATATAGGTTAATGAGAGATTTTTTAGTTACCCTAATTTTCTTTCTTGCGACATAATCAAATGGGGACCAGTTACTTCCTAGGCCTGAACGAAATTTGAAAAAATTTCTTTTTATGATTTTCTTTTTATTTTTTTAGTTCTTATTTTTTAATATTATTATATCTATTCATGTGATTAAATTAGGCCTGCACTAAATTCAAGTCATGGCTATAGCCACGTACTTAATTGATCAATTAATATAAGTTGAGTCGTGGTAAACATTACCAAAATTTGACAGGTCTCTTTATTAGTCCTTGTGATTAAGGAGGTGTTTGGGAGCACTTAAAATCGAAACAATTACCATTGATAATGAGAAAAATGGACCGTTGCTTTTCATCAACTTTGCAGGAACTCTGACATGGCAGATCCACTTTTGAATATTTTATGGCAAAATGACATTTTTGCAATTAACATTTAAATCATTTTGCACGATACACGGGCATTTTCGACATTTCATTTTTAGGAAGTCAAATTTTGCTAGCTATGACAGACCCATCTTGCAGTGAGCAACGGTCCATTAATTGATTGGCATTGGACAAAAATCGTGCTCAGACACGGCCTAAATATAGCCTTTGTTCGACTCCCTTAAAACAAAATTTCTTATTTTTAATACTTATTTTTAATCACAATTTTGCACGGTAAAATATTCTGTAAGTATATTCACAACTTTTTCCTATTTTCAAGAATATATTTTTCAAAAAAAAAATTATTATTCAAAATATCATTTTCCTCTAATTTCGTTTTTTAATAGCCATCAAATAGAGGCATAATTCTATACGAACCTAATAAAATTATAACGTGCATTAGGCCCTTTGTCTAATTATACAGGGTGGACCCAACTAATCTCCCCATCTACTTCGTGAGGTGGAAAGAGTCATCATCACGACAACGGAATGTCAATTGTCAAGCTTCTCAGTCAGCAAAGCTTTTCTCATCATGTTGGAACCATTATGATCTCTATGAATTTTTTCAAGTTCCAAAAACCTAAAATTTAAATAAAAATATGTGTACACACACAGCTTTACACCTCTCTTACATAGAGAGGGGTCCACGAATATTTTATTGTGTGTGGATCCCCTCCATGTGAGTGGGGTGTAAAGTCGTGTGTGTACTTAGTATCCCCCAAATTTAAAACATCTCGAACCCAATAGTACTTCACATAAATATGTTTCAATTTTTCATGAAATACAATATTTCGACTAATTTGAAATTTTTTCTCATACTTGAAAGTTGAACCCGAGCTCTCCAACAAAGTTTTTCATCTGTAACTTTTTTTCGACTTCAATTGCTACAATGAATTGNNCGACTTCAATTGCTACAATGAATTGTGTATCAGTCTTAGAAAGTATAATACAATTTTATAACCTCAATTGTCATGACATTGTCCACGTGATAAAGCAACTCAATAACCAGATTTACGAGATATATCGGATCGTATGAGATTTTCCTGTTCTCTCTCCATCGAGATATAAAATTTTTGGCCCAAAAAATGATGAGATTGTGTAAGTAAATATTCTTGCATTTATTGTTGTTGCACTATTCATCGTGCTTCCAACACTTTTCTAGTTATCATTTACATAAAAGTAGTTAGCCAAAATTATTAATTCATTTTAATTTTCAAAATGAAAAATTTGCATCGTTAAAAAATTCATACCATTGATTGAATCATTCAACATTTGACGAAAAAGGTTTATAGAAATGGAGTCATATTAGAAAAGTGCATAATCACATGAATAAATTCACACTAA